TTGTCGGTTTTGTTCCGTTCCGAACGAAACGAAACCGAAAGAACGAAACTTTTTGTTCTGAACAAAAAGGAGTAAAACCAATAATTTAATTCCGATTTTCCAGCCCTGCGGGATAGTGATGCCCACCTTTACTCATTTTTGGGGGGCATGTTTATCCCGGGATGAATATGCCCCCTCTGTGGTGGACTGTGATAGGGGGCATGTTCATTTCGGGATGAACATGCCCCCCCCCCCCCTTCTATACCCCGGGCATAAAGATCACGGGGCGCTTGTATCACCCCACACCTGGACTCGACCAGGCCCTGGTCTGTGACTCGTCTTTGGTTCGAGGCGTCTCTGTTCGTTCTTAGCTCCGCCGACGACCCGCCGCGCTCCAGCAACCACATGCTAGGATGCCAACGTGCATCTTTGTGCGTCCGGGTGGAGATATAGGATTTTTGAGGGGAGGTCAAGAGTTTGATTCCCCGAAGGGCCAGTTGTGCCCAAAGGCTTTACGGCTCACGAGCCTTCAGGCTCAAGGGCTCAAGGTCCTCCATGGCCCTTAGAGCAGAAGACCTATGTCTCCAGCGAAACATATGAGCTTGAACTTGAACCACTGAACCGTGCCAGCGCCATTACTGCCTTTTATTACTAATTTTTCGTCACACTATTCTACTTCCAGTCCAGGAATTCCATGGACACCATGGAATTCCATGATCTCTTTTCCATGGATAGAGGTCTGTTTTCCATGTGAAATGCATCATATTCCATGTGGTGTCTGTTTGCATGGGCGCTCTACCATGGAATATCGCCTTCCATGCGAGGACTTCAAGGAAATGTTCTCACTATAGGTAAAGGCTTCATGGAAAAACGCATACCATGCGAGAGGACTTCATGGAACGGTTGTCTTTCCATGGGGTTACCTATCCCATTGAGCACTTGCCTATCTTTACCATTGAAACCATTTCCCATGAAAATGAAAAGTGCTGTAGAATCTATAATTATTAAAATTTTGATCTGAAATTTGGCATGTAGCATCTACAATGAATTTTAGTACGGCCGTTTAAATTTCATTCAAATCTGAGAACTTTTTTTGGCAACTCGAAAACGGCTGGAGCTAGCCAAAAACGGACACCAGATTTGGCTCCGCCTCGATTCCGACACTCTATATACATGCTTCATCACTTTCGATTAGACTTTCATTTGTCTTTTGTGTGGACTTAAACATTTTGGTATTACTCCATGGAGTTAGTGATCTATTCCATGGAGACGGTCAACTGCCAAGGAACCTTATTTCCAAGGAAACTACCTCACATGGAAGTGGGCAATAAGTACATGGAAAGTTATATTCCATGGGGAAATGTCTCCCATGACATTCCTTGATGTCCCATGGCTCATGGGAACGATCATGGGATTTCTGGACTGGGCTGTGATTGTAAAAGCACAGAACGTTCGTGTTTTAGTTCTGTGGCTTATCACAGGATTGAGCACTGACATTCTGTGGTAGTTCCGAGCTTCGCACAGGATTGAGCACAGACAGGCGGTGTAATTATTTGACGCTCTTTTTTCTGTGAAAATCCTGTGCTTTTTTCTGACAGTGCAGTTGACGCAATATTGTTCTGTTCTTCTGACGAAAAGCAGAGGAACGTTGCCATTACGAGGCAGAAACGGGGGAGGCGATAGCAAGCAAAGCAGATAAAACTTATATTAACGTAGAAAGTCGAGCGATAGATTAGGTTCTCACCTGGCGACATAGTAGTCTGTCAAAAAAGAGGCACCGCGCAGTCGTCACATGCCATTTTTCAAAAAACGATTGAAATGGCGCTCAGCACAACTCAAAAGACCCCGAAACTGAGAATAAATAATAGCTCCCTCCATCATTCTACACTAGAAAGTTTGAGACAACTACAAAACAAACACTGTCAGAAAAAAGCTCAGGATTTTCACAGGATAAAGTGCGCGTCACTTAATTACACAGCCTGTCGTGCTCAATCCTGTGCAAAGCACGGAGCTACCACACGAAAGTTCTGTGCTTTCACAATCACAGTAGAATAGTGTGATGAAAAATTAGTAATAAAAGGCAGTAATGGCGCTGGCGCGGTTGAAGTGGTTCAAGTTCAAGCTTATATGTTTCGTAGGAGACATAGGTCTTCTGCTCAAAGGGCCATGGAGGACCTTGAACCCGAAGTCCCGTGAGCCGCAAGTCCTTTGGGCACTCCTTTTCCTTCGGGGGATCACACTCTTGACCTCCCCTCAACAATCGTATATCTCCGCGCGGGCGCACGGACATACACGTTGGCGTTATCCTCCAGCATGTGGTTGCTGGAGCGCCGCGGGTCGTCGGCGAGAGCTAAGAACGAACAGAGACGCCTCGAACCAAAGACGAGTCACAGACTGAGACGGTCAACAGAACAACCCTGTGGTGTTGCCCACCACAGTCCGCACTCTGTTTTAAGTGTGGTTCCAGTTCTGTGGTCTGCTTAGCAATAATTTACCACAGGATTTCTTACAGTGAAAACCGTTCGTTAGCTGGCCAAAATCGGGGGTAGGGGGAAGGAAAGGGAGAGGAAGAGGGG